GGAGCCATGAAGAGTTGATTGGATTGTAGGACCAGGCAGTAGTGAATGGCTTAAAAATGGCGGTCAGGGGTGTGGTTCTGAGAGCTTTAAAAGAAGAGTAGAGTCTGCCTCTCTTTCTCTCTCTCTGCTCTCTCTGCTTCCACCATCTTGCACTGTGAGACCTCTGAGTCACTGTTGCCACCACCAGGTGGACTTTGGACTTCCCAGCCTCAGAAATTGTAAGCAATAAATTTCATTTTCTTTATAAATTTCCCAGTCTCAGGTATTCTGTTATAGCAACACAGAACAGACTAATACAAGTAGCTATACTTAAATCAGATAAAACAGACTATAAGCCAAGGAAAGTAAAAAATTATAAGAAAGGTCATGATAAAGGGACCAATTCAACAAGAGGATCTAACAACCCTAAATATATACACACCCAACACCAAAGCACCCTTATATATATAAAGCAATTACTGATATGCCTAATGGGAGAGATAGAGTCTGACACAGTAATAGTTGGGGACTTTAATATCCCGCTTTCAGCAAAGGACAGATCAACCAGACAGAAAATTAACCAAAAAACATCAGAATTAATCTCTACTCTAGGCCAGTTGAATCTAATGGACGTATATATAACATTTCATCAAACAACTGCACAATACACACTCTTCTCAGAAGCATATGGAACATTCTGTAGAATAGACAACTATTAGGTCAAGTCTTAACTAATTTTAAAAAATCAAAATCATATCAACTATCTTGTATGAACAGAATGGACTAAACCTAGAAATCAACAACTAAAGAGACACCAGAAACAGTACAAATAAATGAAAATTAAACAACATGCTCTTAAACAACAAACAGGTCGAAGAAGAAATCAAAAAAGAAATTTAAAAATTACTGAAGACAAATGAAAGAGAAAACACAACATACTAGAACCTATGAGATATGGCAGATGAGTTCTAAGAGGGCAGTTTATAGCAATAATTGCCTACATCAAAAAAGAAGAAAGTGTTCAAATCAATGACCTAACATTCTACCTCAAGAAACTTAAAAAGCAAGAACAAACTGAACCCAAAATCAGTAGAAGGAGAGAAATAACAAAGATCAGAGCAAAAAAAAATAAATTATAAGTTTAAAAACAATACAAAAGATTGATGAAACAAAGAATTTATTTTTAAATAATTTTAAACAAAATTGATAAACCTTTAGCTAGACTAATGAAAAAAAAGAGAAGACTCAAATAAATAAAATCAGAAATTAAAAAGGAGACATTACAACTGATAACACAGAAATACCAAGGACCATAAGAGACTACTATGAATAACTATACATGAACGAGCTGGAAAACCTAGAAGAAATGGATACATTTCTGGACACATACAACTTACCGAGGTTGAATCATGAAGAACTAGAAAACCTAAACAGACCAATAATGAGTAATGAGATTGAAGCTATAATAAAAAAATCTCCCAACAAAGAAACCTCAGGACCAGATGGCTTCACTGATGAATTTTACCAAACATTTAAAGAAGAACTAATACCAATTCTTCTCAAACTCTTCTAAAAAATCGAAGAGGAGGAAATACTTCCAAACCCATTCTATGAAACCAGCATTACCCTCATACCAAAATCAGAAAAAGACAAAACAAAGAAAGAAAACTACAGACCAATATCCCTAATGAACACAAGTGCAAACATCCTCAACAAAATACTAGCAAACCAGATACAGCACATTAAAATGGTCATTCACCATGATCAAGTGGGACTCATCCCAGGGATGCAAGGATGATTCAACATATGCAAATCAATAAACATGATACATCACATCAACAGAATGAAGGGAAAAAACATGATTATTTCAGTAGACTCAGAAAAAGCATTTGGTAAAATACAATATGATAAAAATACTCAACAAATTAGTTACACAAGGAATGTACCTCAACACAATAAAGTCCATATATAACAATCCCACAGCTAATATCATACTGAATGGACAAAAATTAGAGGCTTTCCTCTAAGATCTGAAACAAGGCAAGATGTTCACTTTTCCCATTCATATTCAACATAGTATTGGAAGTTTTGGCAAGCACAATAAGGCAAGAGAAAGCAATAAAAGGTATCCACACTGGAGAGGAGGAAGTCAAACTATCCCTATTTGAAGATAGCATGATCATGTACATAGAAAACCCTAAAGCTGAAGAAGAAATCAAGAAGGTAATCCCATTCACAATAACTATCAAAAAAATGAAATGCCTATGAGTAAATTTAACCAAGGAGGTGAAAGACATCTGCAATGAAAATTATAAAACATTGGTGAAAGAAGTTGAAGAGGACACAAATAAATGGAAAGATATCAAATGTTCATGGTTTAGAAGAATTAACATCATCAAAATGTCCATACTACTCAAAGCAATCTACAGATTCAGTGCAATCCCTATCAAAATACCAATGATATTCTTTACAGAAATAGAAAAAAAAAAAACTTAAAGTTTGTACGGAACCACAAAAGAACCCGCATAGCTAAATAATGCAATCTTGAACAAAAAGAACAAAGTTGGAGGCATCACATTACCTGACTTCAAAATATACTGTAAAGCCATAGTAAACAAAACAGCATGGTACTGGCATCAAAGCAGACAAATAGATCAATGGAACAGACAGCCCAGAAATGATTCCACACTCTTATATACAACTGATTTTTTGACAAAAGTGCCCCCAAACAATAAATGGTGCTGGGATTGAGTATCCACATGCAGAAGATTGAAATTAGACCCCTATCTCTCACCATACACAAAAATCAACTCAAAATTAATTAAACACCTAAATATAAGGCTTAAAGCTATGAAAATACTGAAGAAAACATAGGGGAAATGCTACACAAAATGGGAGTGGGCAGTGCTTTTTTGAGCAAGACTGCAAAAGCACAGGCAAAATACACAAATAGGACCACATTGAACTAAAAAGTTCCTAAACAGCAATGAACACAATCAAAATGAAGAGACAACTTACAGAATGGAAGAATGTGTCTACACATTAGACAAGCGGCTAATATCCAGAATGTATAAGGAACTCAACAACTCAACAGCAAAAATACCAAATAACCCAATTAAAAAATGAACAAAGGACCGAAGGAGACATTTATCAAAAGAAGATGTACAAGTGGCCAATAGTATATGAAAAAATGCTCAAAATTACTAATAATCAGGGAAATGCAAATTAAAACCACAATGAGATATCTCACTCCAGTTAGAATGGCTATTATTAACAAGACAGAAAATAACAAATGCTAGCAAGGATGCTGAGAAAAGGAATCTCCTATGTTGTAGGTGAGAATGTAAATTGGTACAGCCATTGTGGAAAACAGTGTGGAGGTTCCTCAGAGGACTAAAAGTAGATCTACCTTAAGACCCATCTATCTCACTACTGGGTATATTCCCAAAGGAAATGAAATCAATATATCAAAAGACACCTGCACTTCCATGTCATTGCAGCACTATTTACCATAGCCAAGATATGAAATCAACTTAAATACTCATAAACAGATGATTGGATTTAAAATTGTGGTATATATTCACAGTGGAATACCATTCATCTATAAAGAAAATGAAATCTTATCATTTGCAGCAGCATTGATAGGACTAGAAACCGTCGTGTTAGGTGAAGTAACTCAGGCACAGAAAAACAAATACACATGATATCACTCATGTGGAATCTAAAAAAACAAATCGTTCTCATAGAAGTAGAGAGTAGAATGAATAATGGTTACTAGAGGCTGGGGGTGGGAGTAGAGTGGGAGTGGGGGCAGGGGAAAGGACAAATGGTGGACTGATGGGTACAAAACTCTGTCACCTACCCTAAGTGAATCATTGTGCAGTATATGCATGTATAGAAACAACACACTGTACCCCACAAATACATACATGTAAATGTTAAAATAAATGCTCCAAAAATGATCAAAGCAACAAGAGGAAAAAGAAAAAAAGGCCTATAGGCAGCTCACTAGCTTCTACAATTACGACTGCCAAATCCACTCCCAGGTATTTATTCTTTAGGAAACTTAAAATTATTCATAAAGAAGGCTAAGACAAGTAGCAAGCAGGGAATTCAATGGCTTTATACATAAGCAAGGAAACAGAGAAAAGCATTTGAAAAACAACGAAAACGTAAGCAAGAGCTTTGCTTCAGTTTAGAAGGCTATAAATTTTACTGTTTTCTTTTATTTAATAGAACTAATATAAAATGGGAATAATAGTCTACTTTCTTGATATAGGCTTAAAGAACAGGATCAACCACAAACCGCTAATAACATAAAAGCCATACTCAGCAAAAACAAAAACAGAAGCATGTACTAAACATAGGTTAGCTTGCTGGAGAAAAAGATGTTATTTTGTTTATTCTTGTGTAATTCTTTCTAAATCTTTTTCATTTAGAAATTTAATTTTGGGATCAGTGATATCTAAATAAAATTTAAGTATACAAGTATTTCAAGTACATTAAACATATGAGAAATTTTAAGGATTTTATCAGATAAAGCTTGGAGATTACCAAAGGGTGTCATCAAAATAGCATTTCTAGAATTGAGGATAATGTCTTTTGATTGTTATACTCATAAAAATACATAATCCAATGTATGGCTTAATGCGTTATATTTGTATTCATCAAACCAAGCTAATAATAATAAAAATGACTGACATTTACTGAACACATACAAATATTATCTAAGCATTTTACATATAAGCTTATTTATCTCATTTAATCCTCAAAATTACCTTTGGAGCTATGTACAATTATTATCTTTATTTTATAGATGAGGAAAGAGGCACAGAAAGTTAAAAACCTAGCCCACCATTTATAAATAAAACTTCAAGAATGAGCTAAAAATTAGTTTAAAATTGCAGTAATTTTTATGTTTCGGTAATGACATATGATTTTGAAATATCGTGGACCAGCATACTTGCTTTTATGTTAAGACTTTACACAGATGCAAATAAGAATGAGTAACAGTAACCTACCTTTATCAAAAAAACCTGGCAATCACTGATATAATCATACTCCAATCCATCAAAAGAATGATAATGCCGATCCCCGTATATGGTGCACACTGCTGGGCACGGATAATATGTGCAATTGAACATTCCTCGTCGACAAACACTATGAGAAAATAACACAAGTTAACTTTCTCAGAAACTTGGCTCTACCTAGTGTTTTTCAAGTGATGTAAACATCATAAGGTTGTATTCAAAAGCATTTACTGAGCCAATAGCCCTTACAAGTATTGCTGATTCATTTTAACACCGATTACATTGACAAACATATTTTTACCACTTTGTTAGTAAATTATTGGACAGCAAAACCAAGCTTAGAAATTATGTCAGGGTCACACAGAAAATAGATGATGGAATGAAAATTAAACACAGACCTACTGGTAGCCAAAATAGCAAAATGCCATCTCCTATATTTGAGTCAATTTAAGTACATTAGACATGACATTGCTCATGAGTTTAGAATCTTTGTCCACGTTTTAAAGAAATTATATTTCAAATTTTATTTTATGATATTGGTTTGACTTATTTTTAAACGGAAAACCTTCCATTAAATATGGTCTTCTCTCAACCTACAGAATGAGAGAAAATATTGCAAACTATGCATCCAACAAGGGATTAATATCCAGGGTATACAAGAAACTCGAACACCTTGATGATAAAAAAAACAAGTAACCCAGATAAAAGATGGGCAAGAGAGCTGAAGAGGCATTTCTCAAAGTAAGATACACAAATGGCCAACAGACACATGAAAAAATGCTCAACATCACTAAGCATCAGGGAAATGCAAATCAAAACCACATTGAGATATCATCTCACGCCAGTTAGACTGGTCATTATCAAAAAGACAGAGAGTAACAAATTCTGGCGAGGATGCGGCAAAAGGGGAACCCTCCTACACTGTTGATGGGACTACGGATTAGTGCGGTCATTATGGAAAACAGTATGGAGGTTCCTCAAACAACTGCAAATAGAATTGCAATCCCACTGCTGGGTGTATACCCAAAGGAATAAAATCATCATGTTGAAGGGATACCTGCACTCCCATGTTTACTGCAGCTCTATTTACCATAGCTAAGAGTTGGAACCAACCTAAATGTCCATTGATGGATGACTGGAGAGGAAAATGTGGTATATACACACAGTGGAACACCACTCTGCCATAAAAAGGAATGAAATTCTGCCATTTGCAGCAACATGGATAAACTTAGAGAAAAATAAGTGAAATAAGTCAGGCACAGAAAGAGAAATAAAGTGGGATAAGCCAGGCACAGAAAGAGCATGTCCTTACTCATATGTAGGAGCTAAAACAAACAAACAAACAAATAAACAACAATGACAATAATTCCTTGAACTTTAAAAAGGAGAGAACAGAACTGAGGCCACCAGAGGTGGGAAAAGGGGAAGGAGAGTTAGCAAGAAATTGGCAAAGGGCCACATTGTATAATGATAAATATAGTAATTATCCTGATTTGAGGAAAAAATTAATTTTTAAAACCATCTTATTATGTTATCTTTAAATTAACTTTTTTTTTAAATAATAACCATTTTGTTTTAGAATTCATTGTAGGGTATCAGTACATACTACTAATAAACTAATAAAGCAGAATCTAAAAACGTACATAAATATGGTCTTCCCTATGCAACATTTAGCACTTTCTTATGAGCTTGAGAAATTTTTTTTCAATTAAATTTTCAAATGGTTGCATTTCACAGTTTTCTCCTGGGCTGAACAAATATGCATAAAAGTAACATATGGTCTCTCTGTAGACAGGGGTACTCCACCAACTCCTGAATGCCTTTAAAATCTTATTTTACTCATGTTTGATTTGTTTTTTTCGCTGAAGTCAATCACATTAAGTACAACAAGATGATTGAAATTAATACAATTGCTTAAAAATTTTTGTGAAATAAATGAATCTCATTACCAGGTGTAGCAAGGTGTAGCAATCACTTCTCCTGAGAGATACTCCCAATCTTTCCAGATACATGGACAGCTTTCAGGAACATAACATTTTCCTTTGTGCTCTGCCATTCTTCCAAATGAAGAAGTAAAATGCTATTTAGTTTAAACTACTAATTTCAGTTTTTAAGAAATCAGTAATCCTGTCGTATTCAACACTATCATTTATATTTACTATAGCTGTCTAAGGCATATTCTATCTGACCTACTGAGGGCTGAATTCAGTCTTTCTTCCCCTTCTGCTCCACACAGTACCTTGCATATCACAGTATTAAATAAATACCATGTGAATGATTAGATGTGATATTTTGACCTTTTGGGTATTCACTTAGTACAATAAAGGAGAGACAGAAGCCTAAATTTCTAATAAAATGAGTTATTCCGAAAAAACATTCAAAGAGAAAATGAGAGTCCCTTTCTTCAATACTTACTCCTTAAAAAAAGTCTGCATGTTCTAATAATTTTTTGATAAAAGTAGTAAATTATAAAATGAATAACATTTTATGTTACAGGACGTAGAGAGTAATCAAAAGCATCTCTCTGAGTACTTATGATTAAAATCATGAGAGCTCAGTTTAGGTATGTTTTGAATTAAAAAAAATTACATCTAATGTTTTGCGTTCTTTATTACTAACGTATTAAGTATTGAATGTTGGTTTCTTTTGAAATGTTATTTACTTCTTGAATGATTACCCCCTGAAAAACTATCTGAAAATATCTATGAATATAAAAATTAAAAACATAAAATATAAATATAAATTTTTAATATAAAAAACTCATAATTCAGGGAAGAAGTACGCTTGGTATGTTATCAAAATTTTTTGATATTAAGATTAAATAAACACATATTATATATATTTCAATAGCCTTAATATAAATAAATATATACAAGTATATTTCAATATTCTTAATTTTTTTTAAATAGCTATAGTAAATAATTTAAAATAATAAATAACAAATATGATAGTAACAAATTATAAATGTAATAATAATCTAAAAATTAATAACATAATAAAGTAGTAAAAATAACATTAAATTTAACAATAAATTTACATATTTAAATAATTTATCATTATGATAAAATAATTTATTTTAAAAATAATAAATAGCATAATAGTAATAAAATAATAAAACAATAATAGCTTCTAAAAATAGATAAAATATATAAAAGATTTTTCTGAATTTGCTTTAAAATGTAATAATTTAATGTTATAAAAATTGACTGAGAAATTAGTTAGGAATCCTGAATTCTTGCCTCTTCTCTGAAACAGAAATAATCACGAACGTTTCTTGAGTGCTTTGGTTTCCCTCTCACAGCTCTTCTTACACAGTACTGTCATTCCTTATTCAATGTATATGCTATCCACCAGACTTTAAACTTCACTCCAGAGGATGAAGTATATTTAGTTAATGGTTGTGTCCCAATGCCTAGCACATAGAAGACACTAAGTTGTTGAGTAAAGGTGAGTAAATTAACTTATGTGTATAAATGATACATTATCTCACTTAGATTTCCTTCTTTCACATCAACAGTGCCCTAGACTCCATAATCTTTCATCTCAACCCTCCCAGACGTCTAGTCACTTGCCCTGGGCTTTGTATCTTTCTTCTGCCTGGAAAACCTCTCTTCATCATTTGAGACTCAACCTAATGCAGTCTTTTCAGTGCAATCTTTTATGTTCCTAACTCCCCCACACACTCCCTATACTTAACAATTTGTACAAACCTTTATTGGAGGACTTATCACAATGAACTGTTAAGTAGCTCATTAAATGTTTTATAGTGATAATAAAAGCAACAATAACAAAATTAGTATTTTTGGCGCACTATTCCAACCACTTTAAATATGTCACTAACTCACTTCATCCTAAGTGACAATCCCCTAGGTAGATTCCATTATTATCTTACATTTGTATTTTAGTATCTTCCCCATCCCTGTAGCATAACGTAATGCCCCAGACATTAGAGGCTTCATAAACTTAGGTTGTCCAATTGTTTAGGTGATGGATAGCTCAACTAAATGAACCACAATCGCTAGATACTTAGCCAAATTAGCAGTTTAAAGTGGTTATGCTGATGACTGATGAGTTTTTTATAACTATTCGAAGCTGGAATGAGGTTTAAAAAAAGAGCTATAAATCACTGTAAATTATCTGCTTCATGCAGGTTTGCACTGTGAGGTTTGTAATAAAAATTTACTGAGTACCTACCATATAACTGATGTGTTACATATACTCATCTATCCATGAAATAAATACTGTTATGATCATTTTAAAAAGAGGAACTTGAGATTCCAAATAGTTAAGTAACTTGCCCCGAGGTCCCTCAGCTAATAAGGAGGGCCAGCATTTGAAGCCATTTCTATCTAATGCTTTCCATTATACCACATTCCATTTCTTCAGTCCTCAGTGATTTCCATATTAGGGTTATGTGGTTCTTTTATAGTCAATAAACTACTGGCACTATTATTAGTGATACTAGGCGGTTGTCCCAAAATGAGCCAGACAAGGTCACATGGAAGACAAGGCAAATCACATTACCATAAACAGCTTTATAATAAAAAGTTCTGTTAACAAAATTATTTCCAAATCAGTCAGAGGCCTCTAAGACAATTCCGGCCATATTATTTCAATACAATTAGAGAAGGTGGGAGAAATTTTCTTTAAGTTTTTGTTATGAGATTTGGCTGGTACATAAATAAATCATTGTTGAACTAAAAGTCAAAGGTGACAGTAATTTTTAAATTTTTTTTTAAGAAATGATAGCGTGAAGCACAGCATTTGAAACAAAATTAGGATATAGCTTTATTTGGCCATGCATTCCTCAGAGTCATAATCAAATCAAACAAATCAAACACTGTTGTAGGTTTCAACTATTTTACCATAATAAAGGTTTTATCTCTCTTGTCCTTTTTACTAAAATGTCTTCCTTGCTTATCTGCTCTACGGCCTGATTTCTACCTGTCTTTATTTTCCCATGTGTGGGCACTTGTTTCTTTTTCTTTTTTCTGCCTCCTACGCCCATCCTTTCTAAAGAGATGCATACCAGTCCCAAGTTACTTGGCTCTTCAACCTATTCCAGATGGGGGCCATTTAGACAAAAGCAATTCTCCTGGGAAGCAAACCACAAGACCTCTCTTTTTTTTTGCTCGTGGTTTGTATGAGCAGATCCCAGGAATCCCTTTGAGTGAACACGTTAGTCGGAGAAGAATGAGTGACCTGTTTGCCTGAGACGGCTCTCCCTCTGCACTGCTTCTATTCATTACCAGAAGATGGAGGGCCAGTGAATGCAGATTATATGTGTGTCTCCAAGGAAGCTAATAGCCACCACATTCTGTTTGTCTTTCACGTGTACTAGGCATTTCTGCAATTGAAGGAAATCTACAAAGGTAAGAGTAGATTATGCTGCCATGAAATAATGACTCATAGTTATTGAGTACACACACACACACACACACACACACACATCTCACAATGCCTAACAGGCTTAAAAGGAACTTGCAAAAAAATCACTAGGTTAACAGTGGCAGAGCTGGGACTTGAGCTCTGGCATGTCTGCAGCTAAAGCTCCTGATCTTACCCACAGCCTTATGTAGGCTCAATACACTGTCTTATGTAACATCTATAAGATAAAGCAGTTGGCATCACAATTAATACTTGACATCAACAATAGTAACTGTACAACAGAATATACTCATACAAACAATATGCACTTAAACCGTGTTTTGAATAGAGTGACTACTTGTCAAAACTTTCCCAAAATTGCACTTGAATCAGGGTAGAAATTCCACCTTCATCCTGAAATTAGTTCTCTCCTCAATTCAGTGTATTACTTTAATAATATCTCATCATGATGCTGCATAAGCCTAGCAAAATAATTACAATAGTCATCATGCTACCAACCCAAAGTTAACCACCAGTCAGAACAATTTTGGCTATTTTTGTAAATAACATTTTTAAGAGATCTTGTGCTTTCTGTCAGATCCTGAATGTTCTATATTACCAAAAAAAAAAGAGACTTACCCTGGAGCACAAACACAGCCACTTATACAGGGCGAAGATGGAGCACAAGTGAAGTTCATGGCCAGGTTTGCACATGTAGTCTCACAATTTACACCACCAGCTGGTAATTCAGGGTCAGGAAACCTGCAGTCAAAATACTCTTTCCCCTCTGGGCATGTGTGAACTTCAGAAATAAAGCACAGATGGAATGCCCTTAACTTCATATTTGTTCCATAGACAAATAATCATGTTGACATGCATTTGTCATCAAAACAAAATTCACTCTAGAATATTTTCCCAGTTATGATTAGATGATGCTCTTACTCTGTGGTTTTTAGTTGATGCACTTACAAACATCCCCTAACCAGATTCCCTTTAGTCACCAAAGTTTCCAAAACCTATTTTGAGTTTGAAAATCCTAGATACCTTCACACATAAGGAATTCACTAAATAACTAGTATATAATTTTCTGAAGTCAAGAAACAGGGTATTTTGATTAATCCAAACATACATTATTTTTGATAACTGAAAATACAATATATTTAAACTTTTACAAAGCCATAATGAACACATGACACTTCTAGATCTTGCTTCATCTAAGTTATTATTTATGTCAGTCCTCACTATACTGTAGAAGTGCAGAGATGGACATAATTATAGGCAGGACAGGGGCTATGTATTCCTCCAGAAAGCTTTTGGGCACTCAAGGATCAAACAAGATCCCTTATGTGGGGCCAAAGGGATCAGATCTTGTAGATTCCTCTGTGGGAAGGCTAGACTCTTAGGTTTCCCTTCTTCAATTATGAGTCACCCTGAAGCAAAGGGAGCAAAGCAAGGATGCCCTGTGCTCCTGAATATGAGAGTGGCCCATGAACCTGCCCTGTAAAGAAACCCCAGACTAGCCTGAATCCTCAGAAAGTAAACCTGGGACATATGATTCAAATCTCATTTATAATAGTATATACCTGGTGATTCAAATAAATAACAAAGCAATAGTTCCTAATTGCTTTTACCAACCTACATTCTTCCAGTCCATCAAAATCTGTGAAAGTAAGTGTTGTTTATTATTTGCCTAGAATTTCTCCATAGTGACTGGGAAATCAAGGCTCTTTATATAATGAAAATAAATAATATATAGGGTCCCCTAACGTATAGGATCTTAGGAAAGATATTCAAGTGTACAATGACATTCTAAAGAGAGATGGCAGTAGATGTCATTTTACATGCCATTCTTAATTGATTGCTACTGGTCTCAGAGTCTTGCTACTCAAAATGTAGCCCAGGAACCAGCAGCATGAACATCACCTTGGCCATCCATAGAAATGCAGACTCTCGGACATCACCCCCAACCTACTGAATCAGAACTTGCATTTTGACGAGATCCCCAGGTGATTGTGTGCACACTAAAATCTGAGAAGTGCTCATCTAGAGTAAAGTTTCCCCAGTGCTGTTCCACAAATGAATTACAACAGGTGCCTGGATGTATATCCCTAAAACCCTTGGGCACTTGAGGTGGGTCAGGGATAGGCCGTGTCTAAGCAGCGTCCCTGGGTGATCAGCTCTGCCCTAAGCAGCCATGCATGTTCACCTCCCCACAGACTGTCTGATGAATACTGTAATTCTCAATGTAAACAAAGTTAGGAAGCACTGGAGCACATGCTGATAAACACTCCCAAGGCTATATTCCTGCACAGTGGCAAGGAGGGCTGTGATGGATTGATGACTTCTGCCAGAAGAGCGGGGGCAGTACCAGAGCTGCATTCTCCCTAGGGAAAGCATCTACTGGGAACTTACCAGCAGAGGGCGTTGCTAATTCATCACATTTCACAGTCCCATTTGAACACTGGCTAGAAGTAAAAAATAGTTCGCTTATGAACCCAAACATCAGGTTTTTTCTGTACTTCTACAACAATGTAATGTGAAAAAATTGAATGAGTAAATATACGAATGTTATTTATTTCTCACATATTTTTTTTACAAATATGTTGTTGCCTTAGATACAATTTGAAAGAGAGCTATTTCAATTCAATACATTTTTTTATCAAACACCTATATGTGGGGGCTATTGTGATAGGCAAGGGGGATACAAAGACCAAAATTTATAGTCTTTACCCGAGTGTTTATATTCTAGCAAGAGAGAAAAACATACAAATAAGTGATTTATGCAGCATGACATTTAAGAGATGGAAGTAAAACAAAATAAATTTTAAAATCTGTAAGAAATTAACATCAGGGCAGTAAAAGGAAGTAAAGTCTGATTAGTGCTGAAAAAGGGATGGAGGTAATGATGTGGATAAGGTAGGAAAGCTGGAACACTCAGTGGAAACATGAATAAACCATGAAGGGGTAAAATGGTGTCCTGTGTAACAAAGTGACAGGAGATGCTGATTGCAAAAGAGGCAGAAGCCAGCTCCTATTAAGATGCTAAGATTTTATCCCTGAGGTGGGTCACTGAGGACCTTGAATGAAGAAGTGATATGGTTGGCTTGAATTTTAGGAAAATTGTGCCTGCGGCAGCATTGAAGATAGAGTGGAGTCACATCTCCCTTGCAATCTAGGTTCTCAAGTCAGGGCATAAGGCGAAAATCACATACAGGTAAATTAGCCTTGAAAATCCCTTAAGATAGCATGATAGAGAATAACACACCAGCTCTCCATAACCCCACACAGTTTTTCCTTCAGCTTTGGAACAGATCAAGATCCTATATTTGAGCCCAGATGAAGAAGCTGACTCATGTATAAGGGCCACATCACATGAAAAATATGCTCATGCATGGTTTAACCCTGGAACAATACCCACAGGTGTGATTTGCTCACACTGTGAATGGCATACAGGAACAGAGACAGGCAGGTGTCAGATCACAAATCCAGGTCTTCCACATCATACTCATTCTGGGACACACACTTTTTAAAATGGGCGGCAAATGTCATTCACTATACTAACTGAATTTTTATTTTTCTCATGGAGGAGAAACAATTACTTTGTCTTTGCTAAGTTTATATAAATAAACTCAATTATGTTAAATTCAAAAGTGACATGACACCTTGAATGGTGTTCAATTCCACCTCAGAATAGAAGGGGGCAAGACTAGAGGCAGGATGAGCAGATAGAAAGGTCCAAGGCAGACAGGGTGAGAGACATTGCTAAGGCAGTGGTGAGGGAAGGAAGGAATGGCTTTCAACCCTATGTAGAAAGTGAAGTCCAAAAAGTGTTGGGGATTTATTGGCTAGGTGTGTTGAACAGAAGGAGTCAAAAATAATTCCCAGATTTCTGCCTCAGGAAACTATGTGGCTAGTAGTACCACCTGCTAGAGAAAGATCCAGGAGCTGGTTGCCTTTGTGTCTTGATTAGGGGGTGGGAGGCAGGGAGGTAGAGATGACAAAAAAGGTAAATTGAGCATAAGCAATATTCTGCTGTGAAGAGAAAAGCTGCAGAGCAAAGCCTGCAGGAGAGCAAGCACTGCAGAACCAGGTGCTGGGGATTAACCCCAGTTTTATGATCAAGTCGCTTAGCCACCTGTGCCTTCTTCACTTCACCTGTAAATCGGGATAAAGCAGCAGTGCCTATCTCTTAGGGCTATAGTGATGAATAAGTATTTTAATAATAGATGTAAAACACTTAGAATGGTGCCAGGACCATAGAAGGTGCACAGTAATGCTTAAATATTATTATTGCTATTACTATTATCTACTGTCTATTATTGTCTGTGGGCACCTGTGGTGCAACTAGAAGCAGGAGGTTAGGAGTTGGATATAGATAAATGTGGACTGCTGCACGAACATGCCTGCATTTTTAACAGACAGGTTACAACCTGAATGAGTGTTATCCTATAAATAGTTGTTATCTCACTAGTATTGAGGTTCCTGGGGAGGAGGTTCACTTACTACTGTATGTGACATTGCTTATATCTATTTTGGAATTGCTTTTTTTTTTTTTTTTTTTTTTGAGCCAGGAGATGAACCACAAAACTAAAATTGCTCAGTAACATACAGTATTTAAACACCCACCTCACCCCTAATTTCTAAGAAACAAAACTGATCAAAGGGTTTCCCTTTTATAATGTGACACTTAAATTCATAAGTTTTTTCTGTGGTTATAAGAGTTGGGCATTCCATGTTGAAATGCAACATATACATGTATTGTGTGTGTGTGTGTATATATGGTTGTGTATATATACTTAATATATACAAGTACATGTAGTTGTAACATATTTAGAGGTTATGTGATCTTTAGTTTTTAAATTACAGAAGTCACAACTCAACTTCCAGTTTTGGTTAAGAAGTCGTATTAGCACGTGTCATTTCTCAAGTACAATCCGCATCACTGAGACCTACCATAAGCCTGAGGGTGTTGGGATGAGCTCTCCAGGTTGATAAACGCTGCCCCTATAATGACACCGGCAGTGAAATCTATAAGAAAAAGAAAAGGCCAAGTAAATAAAATAAGATATAATTTTTTTCAAAAACTAGTAAAATATTCAAGCAGACCCTATGCTCTATTCTCTGTATTGGTCATTGTAAGGCACACTCTAAAGTTGGCATTATTCTGTGAGGCTGCATCCAATCTTATACAAAAGGCAGAAACCATTTGGTGTGAAGTATTTTGTAGCCTCAGATTTTGTTTTCTGAAATACAACTCACCAACTGTGTTGTTCTAGTCCCAAGAACTCACTGAATGCACTTCAGAGAACCCTCACTGGCATATCACTTAACCCTATTGAGTGCTGACAGACATTACAATACTGCTACTACTAAAATTTGCCACATGACAGTGAAACATAAACCTTCTTATTGATTTGGATATGGTAAAAACAAGTAGGAATAAACTTCAGGGTTAACCATCAGAGTCCTTAGCTCTTTCTATAGCTATCTGTGAACATGTGCAAGGTTAAAAGAAAAAAAGTGAAGACGATAAGAAATATCAAAGAAACAAGCATGAAAGCCCATTTAACTAACCTATGAGAAAAATAAGAGATAAGATCTAAATGCTGTCAACCCATTTCTGTCACTCACATGGGCACACAAAAGTTAAGTGTGTCTTCATAGAATTTGCCTTCGGGACAGTTGCAGCCTTCAGCGCAGTCGTCATTGCACTGCTCCGGGGAAGAGAGAGAAATGCAGGAACGGCGGCAGAATGAGGAACAGTGATGGTACAACATGCCCTGCTGGCACACCACGGCTAAGGACAAAGAGGCGCACTTGAGAAAGATTTCCACGGGGCACAGAAACATTGATATTTGCTTAGAGGTCTGTTATCGATAAATGATGAAACAAAAAGATGCCTTACATCAATTAGCACAGAACATTACAGAATCCTGTAACAGAAATAAGTAAATAGGTGGATGATAGATAAAACAATTCTTGGCCTCAGGAGAAGTATAACAGAAGAACAAAATTTCTGTTTCAAAATATTTTTAAGAGTGACATTTTATAACACTCTGTAATTTTAATTTTAACATTCTTATACCCTATTTTTTTCATATGTAATGTCTTTTGTATGTCCAAATAAACTTCCTGTCTTTACATTTTAAATCTATGTACTGCTATACTGTCATCACCTTCTTTAAACCTACACAAACTTTTAGTCTTCTACAAACACAACAAAATTTGATTTTATTGATCCATACTCATAGTTTGTTTGTTTTTTCCTTCTTAATCATACGTACACTTTTTCTAAACCCTTCCAATTTCTCTTCAGACCAAAGTGAACTGATTATGGTATGCAAACCAGAATAATCTAAAAACACAGCTGTATAAACATCTGTAAAATTCTAGATAAAACATAATTGAAATTATTTTAAATATATAATTGACCTTGTTTTTTAAAAAAAAAAAATGGGGGGACATCTTTCTCTTCAGACCAAAGTGAACTGATTATGGTATGCAAACCAGAATAATCTAAAAACACAGTTGTATAAACATCTGTAAAATTCTAGATAAAACATAATTGAAATTATTTTAAATATATAATTGACCTTGTTTTAAAAAAAAAAAAAATGGGGGGACATTCTGAGATGCCAGAAGTGAGAAGAAAAATAAAACCCAAAACTTTGAGTGGAGGAGGGTAGGATCAATCCCAATAATTTTGGACCTTGGATTTAACCCAAATGGGAATGGAAGATGAAAGTTGGTTCTTTACAAGGCAAGGAATTGGAAGACCCATAACTTGGACGCTCAAAGACCAACATCCTCAGATGAAAGGACGGACTAAAGTAGGGGTCAGAAAACTTTTTCTGTAAAGGGCCAAATGGTAAATATTTTCAGCTTTGCAGGTCATACTGTCTCTGTCACAACTACTCAACTCTGCCACTGTAGCACAAAAGCAGTCAGAGACAACACCTAAATAAATGGGGATGAATGCATTCCAATAAATTTTATTTGCAAAAACTCAGGAGGCCCAATGGTTGTATTTGGTTGATTCCTGAACTAGAAGAAATCTGCTCACAGTACAGGAAGATGTCAGGAAAGCCTCTCTAACTGCCAGGCTGTGATGAAACAAAGTTACCTCTAAAAAATCAAAATCCTAGACTTATATCCCACATAGGTTTGGTATATGAATTTACAGTACTTTTATATTTACATTATTTTTTTCTTAGAAAGCCAAAGCTGAACAATTAACATTAACACTGGCCAGTGATACCCCTGGAGTGACTGGAAAAAGCTTTGTGAAACCACTGGGGGAGTGGAGAAGTGGGAGTGGAGAGTGGTACCCATAAAACCCGGGTCATAAGATTCTAATGGGGGCTGTGGGGGGCCAGATAAAGATTAGCCAATAAAAAAAAATTATAGAACACACAAGAAAACAATATACCATGAAAGAAACCAGCAGACACCATAACCATGAGGATTAGAGCCCCAAGAACTTGAGTTGATAATTGCCTGTTGCATAATATACCTGTTTAACTACAAATCAACTGTATCACTATATCACATAATGCTTTTCCATACTTTCCAATATTTAGAAATGATATCTCCATGATAAGAATTTTTCAAATTTTTAAAAATATTTCTGTTGCATATTTCAAAATATACAGTTACACCATAATTATGCTTATAATGAAAATAGTCAAGTTATTGGTCTTATGCCATGTATCTCCAATTTTAAGAACCTAGGTATTTCATTTGTTCTTAGTGTTTGTACATTATAGAAATATTTCAAATAACTTATAGGCAATATTGACCTTTCAAGTTATTGGTCTTATGCCATGTATCTCCAATTTTAAGAACCTAGGTATTTCATTTGTTCTTTGTGTTTGTACATTATAGAAATATTTCAAATAACTTATAGGCAATATTGACCTTTTGTTTAAAAAATAAAAGCAGTAATTACAAGCAAAAATCTCTAAAGTGTTATCTGATAGTCTTTATCTGTGCCATCGTACTCACCACAGAATGAAATCTGAGTTCTAAAATCGATGGGAACACCATGCTGGCCACAGAGGTAGGCGTAGTGGGCAAGAGCATTGCAGAGGCAGGCGCTTCCACACCTGCATGCATCATGGCGGCACAGCTGGTAGTACAGCCCAGGGCTAATGTAGACATGGCACGGAGCAAAGAGCTCCTGGTGGATGACATCACAGTGTGCGGCATACCCAACTGACAGACAAAGAACCCCATTAGCACCTCATTTACTAGTGCAGCTCTTACCCCTAATATCAAGTTCCAGAATTATTCAAGCATCTTGCTTTCCTAGAAATACACTGTATTTTATATTACTTTACTTGAGACCCAGTATTTTCAGCTTACACAATTTTTGTTTATGTTTTTGGTAATATTAGTAGCAGCACTTAATCCATATTCAAAAAAAAAAGTTTATTGTTCCTGAATAACATGAGTAACAGAAGGGTTGATAGTAATGAACGATGGCATCAATCACCCCATTGCCTGAGGATCATCCTAGGAAACCTGCTATCAAGAATTGGGGAGTATTGGGAGGCTTATTTCCAGACATCCACACATAATTAAAGTGGCTCCAGATTGTGGATGTTATGGCAACTCTGTGAAATACATCATTATCCAGGAAGGATTGGAAATCATCTCATTCTGATGGAGTCTGAGGTGAATGGCAAGGTGGTAGATGCCACGTAGTCACTGAACTCAAGGTCTGCACAATACACAGTACACAATGTTTGGTGGATGTTAGGAGCAGAGCTCAATAATGTTTTATCGATGAATCTATGATTGCATGATTAAATGAATAGTGAACAGAAATTAGGGATTGGAACATATGCTAAAGGCCATGAGATATATCTATCAAACTATGGGGGCGTAGGGATTTGTGTAACCACTTCTAGAAATTTGTTGATATTTTTCCTTGAGAATGACTGATCGGATGTAATCCTTTATAGGAGTAACCAACTTTGACAAAACAATCTACATTCTTTTCTGAAAAAGGCTAAGGTCTGTAGTTCTTTGGTGTAGTGGACTTAGGTTGTATCAATTTCCTCACTGATAAAATTAATCAGTCTTTACATTGTGATAGTCTTTGAGAGACCAGATAAGCTGTTGGAGATCAGACTTTTTCCACTACTAAGGAATTATACTGAGCTAATTTTATTGAGTATTATAAATATATTTATTATTTGTGAGAAAACATGTGGCAATTACCCAAGTATTATGTTTTTGTATTAAGTATGCATATGTATATGAACACAAATGACTTAGACTATAGCAATATATTGTTGACAAACATACTCTTAACCCTAAGGATCCTAAAAGAGAAAAGTAATACAACAATGAGATCTTTATTGTGTGCCCTAAGTAGTTGTAGACTAAAATATACTCCCACTGATATTAAGTAAAAGATAACTCAAGAAGATCCCTTGAAAAAATATCCTTCAGAACTCAGATCAAAGTTATTGACTTTTGTCTATTTATTTTCCTTTCTTTGGGGAAATTCTTCCTGAATTTATCCATTTGAATTTAGAAACAAAATCACAGTTTGTGATAAAGGTAAAACAAGGATAATATCTAAGATATATATCATAGAACACGTGTGGTTTGGGAAGAAAGGTGATAAAGCAAAATGCCATATAATAAAGGAAGTAACTAAAGAAGTGACCAGAGGAAAACTAAATTTATCAATTGGACTCTACTTCAACTTTTACATGTTATTAAAAAATAGAAAGTAAAGTTGCTGCAATACCCCAGAAGAAACCAAGAAAGCTAGAAACAAACCGAAAGAGACCAATTGGAGGAGTAGATTAGAAAAGTTGGTGGCAGGATGAAAGATAGTGTTGTTAAATGAGAATGAGATTAAAAGTAATAAATCATAGAGACCAAAAAACTCCAGTCTAGCCCTCCTATTAAGATATGAAAAATGACCAATCTTCTTCTAGTTGAAAAGCTGGCTTAGATTTTTTTTAAAAGCAGCACTAAGAGCAAGATTATTGCATATTCTTTCCAGTACGCCAAAACTATATGTTAATAATAAAAACCAAATGACAATCAACAGAATCCTTCCACACAACCACTATGAAATCCAGAAATTGTACTGGCTGCTCATGGATTCTCACCCAATATTAATAATATATAAAAATAACTACATAAAAGGAGTAAACTAGTCAAAATAACTTTAAAAACAAATAAAAATTATGAGTATCTATTTAAGTATGCACATTAATTTTTTCATAAAATTATTTTACCAAAAGAAAAAAATTAACTACATAAAAGGAGTAAACTAGTCAAAATAACTTTAAAAACAAATAAAAATTATGAGTACCTATTTAAGTATGCACATTAATTTTTTCATAAAATTATTTTACCAAAAGAAAAAAATATATTTCTTCATTTATTGAGACGAAAACTAGCCTTTAACATGGTTTGCTATGGCTTTAGTAAGAAAAAAATGCATCCAAAAATTCTTGGCATGTAAGTTGCACTGTCACTGCAAATTGGAACTCTGGAGTATGGCCATCTCAAATTGTTGCCCACTTGATGGCACAAAGCCTTCTTGGATCACTGGCTTCCTGCTCAGAAAGCCATAATATGTGCTGTAAGTAGGGATTTGTAACAGGATGGTAATGAACAGGAGAAGCCACTTGAAGCTGTGACACTATGAAACTGAAGTCCCAGGACTATAGCACCATTATTTCTAGAGACTTTTCTTTAGCATTTAAAGACTCTGAAAGCTCCAAAATGCTAGCCCACATTTGGGAAGAAGAGATTTCTAAGCACCTAAAATTAGTAAATTTATGAATGCAAAGTAGTAAAGAAAATAGTAATATTCTATTTCTTTAAGTAACCTAGATTACATAAAAAATCAGATGTGAAGGCATAATAGTAAACAAAAATATCTAAGGAACAGCATTGATTTTTACCATAACAAAGAAAATCAGAATTTAAGATTATTATCTAATTTTACCAAATTATAGTAATACCTAGAACTTTTCCCTAAGTTTATGTGCAGAAATGAGACTTACTGTTTTGTTGATTAATGTTACAGGGGTCTATCACTGGGACGTGAACAGGTGCGAAACAAGTAGAGGAAACTCTCCAAGCATTTGCATGAAGTTGCGGGGTACCTTCTATCATGCCTGATGGAGAACTAGAAAGCAAAGATAATGTTCATCTTAGCATGTCTCTTCATTTTATTTATTCATACTCTTCAAACATTTCAATAAGAGAATATTATTTTTTAAATGTACAAAGAAATCTAAGGGCTTGAAATTTTCTACTAGTTGAAAAATGTACAATGGTATTAGCTTCCTGTTACTGAGACTTTACAATGTGTCAAACTGTGAACACACATGGTTTTAATCTTCATCTCAGACTTGTAAAAAAAACACACCATTATCCCCATTTTACAGAAAATGCAAAGCAGAAACTTAGAGAAATATTAAATTTCACTAAGTTGATAAGTGTCAAAGTCAAAATTCAACCCTAGTTCTCACCGACTTAACCAAACATCACTCACACAACCAAAACTTTAATGTGTGTGTGGTGTAGGGTGCATGTAGAGTGTGTGGGTTGTTCACACAATTTTTTTTCTGGGTGAAGACAAATGTCTCATAGAATAAATAGTCTATATTTCTGGTTGAATACTTCAATTTCCTATGAGGACTGAAATACTGAGGTTCCATCATGAAGTAGGCAAACAAACCAAATGAAAATTGAAAGAAAATGATATGAAGGCACACTTCACCCCAGTGGGGTTACTTCAGTTTCCTTAGCAAACTAAAGTGGAAGAGAAATATCTACCTTTCCTGAAGTAAGATTTATAAATCACATCAGTGTTTACGAGCCAAACACTGCAATTCCACTTCCAGCAGCCATCAAGATTTGTTATCATCATCCAACATTTATTAAGTGACAATCCCTATTAGACACTAGGCCACTGTCAAAACTACTTACAGAATAAAGTTGAATTAGGTCTTCTGTAGGAAGCTTTTGACCATACCACAAGCCCTGGCCATGTTAATTGTCAACATGATCAAGCATAAGAGTTGGCTTTATATCAGCTCTGTATAGTGTCCTAACAGATTAACTACTTTGGTTACCATTTAGCTCCATCACCACCAACTTTATGGAGCTTCTCACCACACTGAATGAGAGAGGACAAAAAAGGGAGCTGTGTAAGCCATTCCCTTGTCCCCATACTTTCCCCTTTCCTTACTTTTCCTATTCCTCAATATCAAGCCATTCTAGAACTGCAAAGAATTATAACAAATACCTAGTGCAAAATCTCATTTTGTTCAAATAAGAACACTGAGACTCAAAGCAATTGCATGACTTGTGCTAGCTCTTTCACTCTTTCCCTCTCTTTTCCTCTCCACCCTTCCAAAGGACAATACAATAGGTCAGGGTCATGATGAGTGTAGTCAAGGTTCTCGGGAGGAGCTGAGGGCTTGGCTCTCCTATTTGACTTAGTTTACTTAAAGCAATAAAATAAAATAAAATTAAGAGCTGAAATTGTGAGCCCAGTTATTTACTGTATTTAATTTTATAAAATTATTTAGCTCACCCTGGTTGATTGACATATAAAAAAGCAATAAAATAAAATAAAATTAAGAGCTGAAATTGTGAGCCCAGTTATTTACTGTATTTCATTTTATAAAATTATTTAGCTCACCCTGGTTGATTGACATATAAATTTTCAAGTAATTAATATTTTTCATTCCACTATGTTTGCAGATTTGCATTAACCTTTGTGAGGTAAAGAATTCTAACTCCTTAAGTTGAAAAACTAATCAATGTTTGAAAGTTACCTCTGACTCTGAAATATTATCCTGCACTCGTATCACGCCTGAATGTTTACACACGAAGGAGATTGGTGCCTTAAAAAAAAGCAGACAGATCTGCCATCTGTTAAACATTGACTAACCCATTCTGACAACAAGGAGGAGAAATATTCTGACCTACAAATAAATAAAACAAAAATCTAAATAACCTAAAAAGAAATTAATCACACAGGAGACAAGGTACAGAAATTCTTTTTTGAAATTTTTCATTTCAAATGCCAGTTCTCCTTGCTCATCCAAATCTCATGTCTCATTGAAAGTTCTACTTCAGTTCAACTTGAGTTTCCACTGTCTTTAAGGTTCCATGTTAATTCCTACGAACACAAGGACCAAGGAAATGATCCTTATTCTCAAAGCCCTCACAGTTTTGTGTGCAAATAAGACAGATAAACACATTGTCAGAATTAACTTTGTCTGGTGGGATATGAGCTAGCTTCTTCAAAGCAAATAAGGTCTGAGTTGGATTGAAAAATAAATGGGAGTTCATAAGAAAGATTAAAAGTGGGGGAAAATCCCAAGCAAGAAAAGCATGTGCACATGAATTTTTTTTTTAAATCATGGTATTTGGAGAATGGCTTCTCCATGAAATGTCCCCTGATTGCCCAACCCACAATGACCTGCTCTAAATTTCTGCTGTGCTTCTAGCCATAACCTCAAAGCTCAACACTTAATTTTTTTTATACAGCATACAATTCCTCTTTGACTTTCCACGGCACGGGTCAGCCTTTTCGGAGGGCTCACTAGCAAAGTTCAATGTAGCTCGGGGAGACTCCGGGTACCCCTTTCCCCACCAGAAGTCAGTTAGGGGCTCTTCCAAACTGAGGTCCCCAGAGATGGAATCTGCCTCTCGGGAAGAGGGAGTTTATCTGTGGCCGACGCCCAGGGTGTGGCGGAGAGACGATCTGGGCGGGCTCCTCTTCCCAGCCCCCCCGACGCTGGCCGGGGGCTCCCCACGCTACCAGCCCCGTCGGAGATCCGTGGGAGGAGTGGGATTGTAGGCCAGTCCACAGGCCACGGGGATCCCTGCGTCGAGGTACGCAAGCGGCACGACTCAGTGAGGAGCCACGCCAAGCCAAGGGGGCCAGCCTGGCCGATCCGAGCCGGCCGTCTCTGCCCCCACCCGAGAAAATGGAGGCAGTGCTGTTGCTGGCGCCTAGCCTGGTGTGGTAGGTGGGAGCCAGGTGGGCGGGAGCCAGACGGGCTTCTGCCCCGCAAGTGGGCCTGGGCTGGGGGTGACTCACAGAGCTCGCAGAGTTGGGCCGGTCCGGCGCATTCCACTCCATTTCTGTGTCGTCTCAGCTGATTTACTTGGCCTTTGTTGTCTTGGACTGCTCGCTCGTACCCGCAGCAGGGCTTGGGCGCTCTCAGGAGTCTTCTTTTGTGTCGGCCCTAAAACCTCGAACCTGTTGTTGCTTGTTTGTCGATGTAGGTTTGTTGTTGAAAGATTTATTCGTTTTTTGTTGCTCATGGAAATGCAAATAGTACTCTGGTATCACAGCGCACACTTCTCAGGATCGTGCTCTCTCCTGGCATGGCCGCTCCAGACCCATCGCCATCTTAGAACCCGCAAACCTCCCAACTCTTTTAGCCTTCAGACCCCTAAAACTCCTCACGGTTCAACACTTAATTTTTTGAAATCACCTCAGTGCTTTTATATATATTGTTGATTGATACCCTGCCTAACACTAAATTTTTTTTTACTGTTTTTTAAAATCAAGGTATACTTGGCAAATAAAAGTTGTATATATTGTACAGTGTTCTACATGGTGTTTTGATACTTGTGCATGCACACATTGTGAAATGGTTAAATCAAGCTAAGGAACAAACCCACCACCTCACATTCTCACCATTTTTTGTTGTGAGCACATTTAACATCTACTCTCTTGGCAATTTTCAAGTATACAGTACATTAATTGTAGTTATCATGCTGTACAATAATAAATCTCCAGAACTTATTTATCCTGTTTAACTGACACTTTGTACCCTCTGACCAAAATCTCCCCACCCCCAGTCCCTGACAACCACTATTTTACTCTACTTCTGTGATTTCCACTTTTTTAGATTCTACATAGTCCTTAAAAATTGTTATCCCCCCCCAAGCTGCGACACAAACCCCTAGAGGATGAGAATTATGTTATGCTTACGTTGCTCCCACTGTGATTTTAGCCACTAACAGGTGCACAAAGCATTTACACTAAGTCATACCCTGCTTCTTTTTATGTGTGGGTGAAAAGGGCTTTGTGGATACAAGGGGTACAAACATACTTTATTGCTTCTCTTCCAGTGAAACACCGACTATCACAAAACCCAATTAATTTAGATACAAAAATGTTGCCTTCAAGGTATTATAAATACCAAATGATTTCAATATTTTTAAAGTATAATTACTTCCACTAATACAAAATGATATTAAGATTTTTTTAAAGGCAACAAGTTATCAAAAACAAAATACTGTTAAGATCGATAGGTGGCAGAAGAGAGAGTAACAGGTAGCGGTTAGCCCACAGGCTGAACAACACTGCCTAAATTCAAAGCCTAGCACCACTATATGTGAACTAAGTGAACTTGAATAATTTATTTGCCACTTTGGAGCCTTGGTTAGTTTCCTAATCTATAAAACAAAGATACTACTAATCAGGGGACTGCTATACAATTTAAATATGATGATCCATGCAAAACTTTTTGAACAGTGACTGCTGAGCTATTATTAATTAAGTAAATATCTTTGATGAGTTTGTGTCCCCTAATTTACCAGTCACTCAATTTAGTTAGCTATATATAAATCATACTTACAGAAAATCATCCCTTATGTTCCCATTAAAAGTGCCACACAGACCTAATGTTCTTCTTTTCCATGCACTAGTGAGCTGAATATAAATTCTTTCCCCATCTATAGCAAACAGAATCTTTAAACCAAATGTGGTTTTTAGTAGTATAAATAAGGACGACAGAGTTTGAATTTCAACAATTCCTGCAGGAAAAGAACATACATAAATCAGCTTTGAGATTTGTAGACAGTGTTCTGAAATGCTAGAGTACAACACCAGGTCTCTTCTCCGAGGATACTAGATAGAACATGCAGGGAGCAGGCTCCCATTTCTGCCTCTGCTGCAGGGCCAATTTTCGACACCTTCTGCCTACTTTCTCCCTCTCATTTCCCCTCTCTCCCTTCTTTCTAGATTTTTAAGCAAATTTTTAATATGGGTCAATATATAATTTCAGTTCAAAAGCATCTCACCAAGAAGTGGGCAGTCCTTAGACATTTGAAATCTGATCTCTTTTTCTTAACTTGTGTGTGTAGGTAAAATTTTCTCAAAATTGGTCATAATTCAATAAGGATGTGGCACTTTCCTCAAAAATTCCCTTGAGACTGTCAGCAAATAGGGGGAACACAGCACTTGAAAAGTATCATTTTATGAGGCACCTTTAGAGACAAGAAACTTGCGTTCAGAACTGAACTAATGCCTTTTGCCACCAGAAGAGTCGCTCTTCATTGCTCCCTTATCCTTATCATAGTCTTTGCCATCAGTCTGGTCACTGAAGCAAAAAATCTGAGAACACTCTTTGATCACTCCATTTCTCTCCTTGCCCTTCCCCCACCATCACCGATCCCGTCCAGCACCAAGTGCAGACCACATTTTTCCTAAATGTTTTTTTCAGTCTGTCCTCTTCTTTCCATCTCTACTGTCACTGCCTTAGATCATCTCCTCCTTATTCCTTGCATGCCCCACTTTATGACATCCGAATTGTTGTCCATGCCCCTCTGAAGCACCTCTCAAAGTCACTTCCACCCTGTTGGTATAGTAGTCTACCAGAAAACGACTACTTAACAGTCATCGTTTATTCAGTTGAAACATACAAGATTGCCATCTCTGTACATAAAAACGGTCAAATAATGACAATTTCCTATTGGGTTCATATCAAGTTCAACTTCCTTATCATGATAGCTGAGTAGCATGAGCATGTAATTTGTAATACAAATCAGGACATTTCTGAGAGTGTTATTAATAACTATGCTGCACTGCAGGCATAAACAGGGCCTGTCCCAGGAAACCACAATGTGGTTTCATAAGACCTTCTCCAGTTTCATCCCCACCTACTTCCCTAATATCATCTCTGAACATTTTCCAGTTACCCTCTTCATGCTGTAGCAATGCCAAACTTGTTATAGTTTCCCCTAAACATACTGTACAGTCCTATATCTCCTTGCTATGCGTGGAACACTTTCCCCATCTCCTTCATCCTGACAATTCCTCACCTTTAAATGCTCAGTGAGGCATTATCTCCTTCAGCAAACTTTCCTGGCCATTCCTGAACACCCCTCCTCAAGGCTGGGTGGGCTACACCTCAATGAGACTTGCAAAGTCCCTATGCATATTTATGCATTTGTCACATTTTACTGTAAGAGGCTGTTTGCTTGTCTCTCCTCCCTTCCAGACTCTAAGCCACTTGAGGTAAACACTAGGTCCCATAAACATGGTGGTCTCCACTATCTCTAGCTAAGAAACTGATAACACACAGGCAATCAGCAAATGTTCAATAGTCAGCCAGTGAGAAAGAACTACATTTAGTTTGTGTTTGTTGTTGTTTTTGTTTCTAATGTAAAGAAAGTACATTATTAGCATTGCTTCTTACCATTCAAATTGAAGCCTTGGTTAGGACTGGTGAGGATTTGTCCTCCCCTACTCAGGGTCACTTGTTTGCTAAAATCATCCTCCAGAATTAGAGTTATAGACTGAAGGCAGACCAAACCAAGGTTCTGCATAAAAATCAAATTATTAATGAAAGAAACGGGATACAGATAGAAACAGAAAGGGAAGGTAGACAGAGAGATGGAAGAAGGGGAGGGAGAGAAAAGAGAGAAGAAAGGAGAAAGAGAGTACATGCAAATAAAAATTTCTGGTGTATAGAGGCTTAAGTATAACTATTATAATAAAGTAGCTATTACATAATCCATTTCATGTAGCCCCATGCCCAATAAAATATCTTTATGAAGTACATTAAGTATAGCATATACATACAGATATTTTACATAGAACATTAAATAAAAGTGTTTTAGGGCCGAGCCCGTGGCGCACTCGGGAGAGTGCAGCGCTGGGAGCGCAGCAGCGCTCCCACCGCAGGTTCGGATCCTATATAGGGATGACCGGTGCGCTCACAGCGCTCACTGGCTTACTTTTCCTAGTCATCTCTCCAGTCTCAAAAAGGACAAAAAAAAAAAAGCATTTTAAATAAAATGCCAATAATTATGTTTTCCGTAACACATAAAGTACCTCTGCAAATTAATTTTACTGGTATATTAGACATTAAAAATTCAATAAAGAAAAAAAAAGAGAAATAGGATTTTATGTAGAAAGAGAATTCAAACTCTAACATATTGCAAAGAAATAAATCAAACTAGAAAAGAAACCAAGCAAACTAGTTCACGATTTTTGTTGGAAATAACTATTTTATATTGGAATAAAACTAGAAAAATTAAAAGATTTTGGCAAAGTTTTGGCTACCTGATTTAGAGAGATGAATGAAAGATCTGGTTTATTTATAATTATCGACGTGTTTATTTCAAGAAAAGATCTAAAATAAATATTCCAATATGTTAGGAAATTCACCAGATCTGTTTAGAATGATATGAAACCTGTTCAATCCTACCAAAAATCATATCTTTAAAATAGCTAGTTTTAAAGTAAACAAAGACTTAGGTCCATTGTGCAATCATGCATGAAATGTTCAAAAACTACCACTTTTAAGAAAAGAAAATTCAGTTATATATACAGCATTTTATCTAGTTTAAGACATCTGTTTTCATATTTTAATCTCTCTGAAATCAGGATGCATCATGTAATCAACAGTATGTCATAGAATAATTATCAGCACTTTTTTCTTTCCTTTGTAGTGCATAGAATAATGGTGTATCTTCATAATCAACAATGCCTTAATTTTGAAGAAAATAACCATATCCACTCATGTTGCCATTCTTAACCTAGACATAAAGTTTAAGTAAAAATAAGCGAATATTTTTCTGGTCATTTTGAGATGTTGTTCTTACCTGCTCACAGGGAGCTTTCTGTAAAGTAATTGTAAATTTATCCTTCCCAGTTCCTTTCACAAGAATGTACTGGCACATGCCAATAAAAGAATAATGTCGACCATCGAAAGTTGTAAAATGTGAATCACCCACAACCGAGCATTGAACTAACACAAACAGAAAAAAAAGGACGAAGAAACATTGAAGGAGGAGGAAGAAATTGTATTAATTCTTAAAAAGTAGGGGTTCAACTTAGGGGAAATAATTATACATCAAAAAAATCTAAAGTGTTTAAAATTTACTGGTTTGACAAATTTACTAGACTAAATTATCTTAGTCAATTAAATTTAAAACTTATTAAAGCCTAACTCTTCCACATACCTTTCAGGTTTGTAATATTTGCTCTACTTAAATAAATTTTTAGCAACGTTGCCTGCTGCTCAAAGGTATCACTTAACAAATTTTCCATTTATACTCTGAATAAGTACATTTATAGATTTTTATATCCCTTATTATATATGAGATATTTTCATAAAAATAAGTGCTATCTTCCTCCCCAAATTAAAGAAAATTGGAATATTTTCTTTAAAAATATTTTAAAAGATTACCTGGACAGTCATGCTCAGAGCAGTTCCAAACTCCGCCAACACACACACTAAATGAAATTATAAAAATATTAATCAATTGGTACAGAGAAACTGTATTAATGTTTGCATCAATGCATTGATTATTATATAATGTATATAGGTTGAGAATAATCTGACTTGAAAAACATCTCTGCAAAAGTTCAATTGATTCATAACTTTGAGCTGGCCAGCCCCTAAATGTAAGTCACACTTAAGAATCACTGAGATAATAAAGATCATCAGATATTAAAGAGAGAGAAGAAATGTCTTCTTATATAAGATAAATTCTTTCTTCCACCTTCACAAAGATGTGAGTTTTGGAAGACAGAAGTGAAGTTCCTATAAGACAGGAACTGAAATCAGAATCTAAGAACATTGTAAGTCATTTGTTTGCATTTCAGTTACATACACTGACATCAAAGAGAAAAGATCCTGACAACACTGACTTCTGTTTCTTGGTTCAGAATATCCTGGATTTCATGTTTGCTCATAATCTCAGTTAGCTAATTTAATATGAAATTCTAAATGTTTTTAATCATGGCCAAAAATTAGTAATATGGAAAGTCACTTTTTCAAGTACCTAATAGAGAATCCCATGAGCACCACCAAATTCGAAAAGTAAAATCATGTGCAAAATCAAAAGTAAAATCATAGTCACTAGACTATGAATAATAAAAAAATGCCACAGACTCATCACACAGTTATTAAATTTTATGGAATTGCCAAGGGAAGTAATAAGAATTACATCAGAACGGAAAATATAGATCTCCCCCACAGAGTTTAAATCAAGTGCAAACTATGCCTCAGAATTTTTGGAAGAAAAAAAGTAATAATATATTCCCTTAAACATCCATCACAGTACAAAGCTGTCCACTAGCCGGGTACCCAGAAATAATCATCCATACATTGATCACATACCATTCAGTACATTCTTGTTCAATTTTCGAACCAACTGAATAAGCTAATCCATGAAAACTACATGGACAGTTTTCCAAGGAGATGCAAGTCCCATTGTCCATTATGAGGCCTATTTAAGAAAAATATATATCAAATTCTCAAAATAAATAAAAATGATTATAACCTTTGGCTATAATAATTCAAGCAACTTTTGTTGAACACCTACTTATACTAGGTGCTGGAAACAGAAATTCCTTTAGTTTCAATCAGGTTACCGATAACCTGACTCGGTCTCAATCAGTAGCTACCTTATAAGGCTGTATTTCAATGGGTTTAAACTTTTTTATCCCATGTCTTGCCAGCAAAACTTAAGATTCACCATAAAGAAAAAAGGTAACTAAACAGTGTTTCCTTGCATTTGAGGGAAAAGAGAAGGAGGGAGAAAGCATATTCTTAGTTTAGTTTCTATTCATTCCAAGATGAGAGAGATTTACACTATTGTCGCACAGATAATGAAAAGCTAGGCAGCGCTACCCAAAAGTAGTACAGTGGGGCTGTGTTTGTTACTTCTCTCTGACAAGGAAAGGAGGTTGAACTAGGACTTAAATCAACTGCGTTATTAATCACTCTGTTTCATTAAGCTGACCTTATTTTTTTCATATTAAGACTTTATGAGAAAAAAAAAACCTGACATATTTTGGTACATGAATTTATATTCTGGTGCAAACTCCTTATCCTGGCATTGACTGGTAACAAACAGCTCAGGACTCACACTGGTTCACCATACTTTGAGTATCACTGACAGAACAAAGAATTGAGGTTAACAGATCTGGTTCCAAGTAACCCTTATTCATATTAAGTACTTGACACTGGGAAAATCACTTAGCTTTTCTGTCATTCTGTTCTTTTTTAATCTGTAAAAATAAATAGGTTTGAGTAAATCCTCAGTGTTCTTTATAAATGCCTATCAATGTAGCAGAGTCATTCCTATTTTAAATCCCACCTTTATCACGCGCTAAGGTACTCTTCATTTCAAATACTAAAACTACATCAGGATTAAAATCTTGTACTGAAAAAATGTGAAGGATTTTTTTTGAAACTTGCTTTCATCTTTTAAAAAATGAAAACACTGGGGCCAGCCCGGTGGCGCACTGGATAGTGCGCCACTTGGGAAGCGCAGCGGCGCTCCCGCCTGAGGGTTCGGATCCCACATACAGACCGGTTCCCGCTCACTGGCTGAGCGAGGTGCGGGAGCAACACCGAGGGTTGCAATCCGTGGCCGGACACGGAAAAAGACAAAAAAATAAAATAAAATAAAATAAAATAAAAAATGAAAACACTGTATATAAATTATTAAATATCATTTAATATTAAGAGAACAAAATATTTGCCACGGGTAACTTTAGGACTCTAGATTCCAAGTTTCCTGAGAAATTTACAAAGTAATGAGCCTTTTACTAAAGAAAAGCAGCCATTCCTCCTGGTCACTTCAAGGACCAAACCCTCCAAGGGTAGAAAATTTCAACAGCCCTAATGTCCTGGGAGAGGATAGCAAGACCAAGATGTGATCCTCAGATCACTGGGTACTAGTTTCCACGAGTGCAGACACGGTTTCTTCATGAGGCACTTACCATCTGGGCAGTAACATCCATCAAGACAATGGAGATTGCTCCCAAGACATTGCTTCTCAAATGTGCAGGCTGGTGGGCAGCAACTGATGCAATCCCGATGAACAAGGCTGTCATCACACTTATCAGCTAAAACGGGCAAACAGGGGAGCTGTAAGTCAATTTTATTCACCTCTCTTTCAAAAAAATCAATGTTTCAAAAAGTATACAAGTTTACAAATACAATAGTATCAATAAAAATCCTTGCAATTAATTAGTTTTGAGTACTAAGGTAAGTTTTGAGTTCTAGGATATGCCTAAAATTAAGAAAAGTACACAGCACTTGGAAAATAAAAAACATACTGCATGCTGGAAAGTCATCTCTCCAGTCTTGAATAGGGTAGCCAGCGTGAGAACAGGCTCTAGCATACTCTGTGGCTGCTCGACAATAGGTTTCATCATCATGAGTTCTAGAAAGTGAAAAGACAGAGCCAGAATCACATAGGAAATATTGACAAACCCTGCCAGCTGAGTGCATGGTGAATATTTTAATATTTATTGATGTCAGCATGTGTGTCTCTCACAATATATCTTATTATGGACATTCATGCAGAAAACACATAAACATGGGATCCCAGGTAAATAAGCTTAGATAATAGTCTTCATGAAAGTCTTTCAGTAATTTGGCCACTATTCTTTTGAGTGAAGGGACTCCTATACTGAAAAAGATTTCTATTTTAATTATGAAATTCTTTCCAGAATGCTGGGTATATATTGCTTTGCTCCTGTACAAAGCATCTCAGAACTTTTAGAATTTAAGAAATCCCAAATACCATTAAAACCGATAAAATTCTATTGCAACAAAAACATCAAGTATGAAATTTGTTTTTAAGATACCATGCTCTTGATTATCCACATGCTGGAATAAAACCAATACCAATAATCTGTGGCACTCAAAACTACTTTGATGGTTTCTCAGCAGTCCTAGCAATGAGATTCCAAAATATTTTTGATAGATTGAATAAATAGCATTTAACTTAATATTTAAAAGAAAATTTTTAATTCTTTCAATTTTAAATTACTAAATCTAGTTACTTTTATAACATGGCCAAGATAATCTTTAATTATTTTCTTATAATCATTTTAGGAGCTCCCCCAATCAATAATTTCTTATAAGAGGTCTACCAATTCCCAAAGTAAATTAACAAGGCTCCTATAAAATAAGCAGGTTAATAAAAGGTAGTGAGCTTGTTTTTCAACCCAATCCAAACTCAAAATTGAATAATTAAATACCTTACAAGATAACGATCTTAAGACTGTGCATTTTGTGAACCGTAACATTTTCAGTATCTCTATTGTAAAAGCCACAACCTCAAATTGCACTTATCCTGTGCTACTGTAATTGGAGCCATGTAGCTTATTTAGTCCAATTAACGGAGCTTTAGAAGGAAAAAAGGACTGAGCATATAAACTTCAGAAGCTCAGAAAATATTTTAAACCTAAAAACAGGGAAACACTGCTTTTCAAAAAGCAGTGAAAGCTAAAATTGTTGAATTCCTAGAAAGACGGTAAGTTCATGATTTCCCTTAGAATATGTGCATTGTTTCCCACAGTTAATAGTGGTTTAGAAAGTCAGTAAAGTGAATATTGTCTTTCAATCTAATGCCACAATTACCAAAACGCTTACCATTATTAAGTGTCTGTTTTACTCTAGGAACTGTGTTAGGCACATTAACGTACATCTCACAAAAACTCACAACAATTGGGAAAGAAAGAAATTATTAACCCAATTTACTCAGGGGAAAATGAGCTTATTTTTTTTTTCATTTTGGCTGTTATCTTTAATAAGGAAAATGGGCATTAGAGAATAGAGGTTTTTCTAGGGAGAAGGAATAACGAAAAGTTACTGCTTCATGGGTACAGAGTTTATGTTTAGGATGACAAAAAAGTTTTGTTTTGTGGGGGGGGAATAGATCAAGGTAGTAGTCACATAGCATTGTGAATGTAATTAATTCCACACAATTGTATGTTTAAAAATGCTAAAAATGGCAATCTTTATGCTGCATATATTTTACCACAATAAAAAAAATTTTTTTTAATAGTGGTTTTTAAATCAATTGACTTTGGCATGGCAAAATTAAAATCATTTCCTTGCAGCTAGGTTGGGCCTAATTCAAAACAGGAGGGTGTAATTTCAAGGACTGTATTGTACCATCCTTCAAGTTCCAGCTCAGATGTCATCTCCTTTATGAACCTTTGGTAGGCTCTCCCTTATACAGTTAGTAGTTCTCTCCTCCACATCCACAGCACTTTGCATCTAGAGCATTGTGTTATTGCTGGAGACCTGTTTCTCTTCCCCATTAGAATATGAGTTCCTAGGACAGAGTCCATGTCTAAATTGTTTCTGTTTCTTCAAGATGTGGCAAAATGCTTAGCTCAAAATAGATGATCAAAAGATGTATGTGGAAGTAATTTCAATATACCATCATAATCCAAGCTAAAAATTAATTTGTGTTCAGCCAATTCACATTTTCATTCTCATAGTACGGGATCCTTATAATGCAGTCCTCCAGTACAAGAAATAAAGAGAATCACCTATTTCTTATAGAATGGAAGAAATAATGTAAGTAGGTCTAGTCCTGAGGGAAATATTGAGCGGAATGAAAAGCCAACTCTGGCAGAATCTCACTTCCAAATTTCATCGGTGTCCACTTACTCAACTAGAACGTCCTTCTTCTGGAATTACATGCCTGCTCTGCCCTCAAATCCAGTTTCTCCATCTCAAACATATCTCTTAAGGTATCAGCTGATTTTGGCCAGTACAAGGTGTTTCTCTATCCTGCTATTTTTATTTACCCTGGAGAAAACACCAAAGTTTCAAAAGCCAAACTCTAAAGATATCAAAATTTCAAAAGACAAAAGTGTTAATTTCTCAGTGATGAAATTTGAGATGAAGCAGGTGTAGCAGAGACTCATTTTTGTCCCCAATTTCCCCTTCTGTGTATATGGCTGCCCAGCCAAAGACAGCACTCCCAGCCTCCCTTGCATCTAGGTATGGCCATGTTTCTACGCGCTGGCCAAAGGGTTAAAAGTGGGACAGTGCCTGAACCTTCCAGATCAGAAGATGCCAGCCCTCTATTTCCTGTCTCCCTCTCTAAGGGCTAAATTATGGACATGGTAGGAGTGAGCTTGTTCTGGCAATAGAATTGAGCAAATACCCTAGGCCAAGAGGATGACATAGCAACAAGATCACTGAGTCATTGAAAAACTCATGGAGCAGAGCCATGATACCAACCCAAGACCACTTACCAGCTTGGATTTTTATACAAGAGAATTATAAACATTCAATTTAATTTAAGCCACTGTTACTTTGGCTGTTGCAACAGCCAAATAATATCATAATCTAATAAAGAATGACTTTCCTGGATGTACCAAATGATACTTCATCTCAGCCTCCTTGAGAAATGAGTGTTAATGGTTTTAATGATAAGACAATTAAAAAGACCACTGGAGAATGATCCAAGAATGAGTCACTGTGGAATAGGAAACATTTTTAATTCCATTTACATGACTAAATAAGGACCATGACCTATGGCCTATCTACAGGGATCCTCAAAAAAAGAGACTGAGTAAAAGAACAAAGAGACATAACAAGTAACTCTTAAATAAAAAATAAAACCAAATAGAAAACAGAATTTTTTTAAAATTCTATTAATTCCATTTACATGACTAAATAAGGACCATGACCTATGGCCTATCTACAGGGATCCTCATAAAAAGAGACTGAGTAAAAGAACAAAGAGACATAACAAGTAACTCTTAAATAAAAAATAAAACCAAATAGAAAACAGAATTTTTTAAAAATTCTGTAAAGTCACTACTCAATATTTGAGTAAAGTCACTACTCAATATTTTAGGCAAAGGGAGAGCTCTTTTAAATCTCCTGCATTAGTTCAATAATCCCTGAAATTTGGAGACTATACATATAAATCAAGATATAACTACACTCTACCCAGAATTAACTAATGTCACAAATAAGCTTATTTCTACATCCAGAAAATATCATTACATTCATTACTTTTGTAATAATCTCAATTTAATTAAAGAGGAATAGTTATCAATGAAACAATTTCATACTACCTCAACCTTTCCTTTTTGTCTTTACCTTTTGTACACTTAAACCTCTTAGGTTGCCCAAGATGCCATTTAAGTTGTTTTACTCAACTGAAAATTAGTCTTTTCTTTTACAAGAA